GATATAGATATAGATATAGATATAGATATATGTGCATCTGCTGAGCACCAGGACCTGGATAACTCCTGAAGCGAATGCGGTGAAGTGTACATGTAGTCATCTCAAGCCCGAAGGTCTGGGAGCAGTAGAGGATTTCCCATAGAGGGTCTGAACCCCACGGAATAATAACTGAGTCCCCGTTAGGATCAAACGGGTCAAGTGGTGCCTTCATGTGGTCACTGTAACTTCAGAAATGGGAAATGCCATCTTAGATTGCATCAACAGAAGTGTGGTGACCAAATCTAGGGAAATCCTCATTTCTCTCCCCGTTCTTCACTCAGGCCTTGGGCGAGGGTGATTGAAGCCCCCTTCTAGGTAATGTGGCTGTATTTTGGTTGTTGTCCAGTTTGTGCCAACTGTTGTTCTTTGTTTTTACTTTTACTCATTTTATAGCTCTGTGTTCTTTATCTGTGAACTGCGCAGAGTTGCTGGGAGTCAGGCAGTGTTAACGAATTCATAAAGTAAGAAATAATCAACAGCATTCCAGAAAACAGGCAAGACAAACAAGTATATCTTTCTTGGATGACCGGAAGAAGTTTCTAACGCGAAGAACCGCTTCAACCATGAAAGAGGCTTCCTCGGGGATGGTGACTCTTCTGAGCCGGAGGCTGATGGATGGCCATCTAGTTGGTGTGTTGTAGATCTTCAGAGAGGCTTCCCATTTCTGCCTTCTAGAATCCTACAGTTCTCGTTTGCTTATGAAGCTGTCCAGTTAAGAATGGCAGGGGAGGATGGTCAGCTTCTCAGAGGTTATTTTTTGGTATCTGAGCGGGGGCTTCCTGCATTGCTCGCCAGGTGTAAAGCAGACTCCTTCGTACTTTAAGCAGCATTTGCTGCCCATTCTCTCAGCGTCGAGCAATCTGTAAAAATGTATTCTTTCACCCGGATTCAAGGGGTTTCCCCTGGCACCAGCCATAACGCTCAGGCGCGCCAGCAGCAGCAAGTGACCAGTGCTATGTTTTGGACAACGGGACAGTCGGTCGATTCTGAACCGGGTCGTCTTGCGCACCGCAGCCAAGAAGACCTGAGCGGGCCAGCTGATGGCGCAGATTGTGTTGGTTTACCTCGCCAGGCAACTTGCCACGGGACATAACTAAGACCTGTGCTTTAGAGAAGCAGGCAAGTCCATTGGTAGCATAAAGGAGAGAGGAATGTGATAGTTGGATTTTTTATTTATTTTTTTGAATTGAAGAAAAATGTCAGGGAACGTTTGCTTGCTTAGTTTTAGTTTAACTTTCCACCAGAGCCATCGGGGGATGCTGGAGGAAACAGTGGCGACCTGGCCTGGCTGAAACAGTGTACCTTTCACGAATCGTGGAGAACAGGTGAAATACCAAGTAACTGGGGGATCAACTGGGGGACCGAAGTGGCGTAGCCCTGAGGAAAAGACCAACCGCCTTGACAACGGGACCGCAGGAGTGCAGCAGCCTCCGCAAGTCGGAGGGAGCCCGGCCGGAGGGGCTCCCCCAGGGCTCAGTTCTGGGCCAGCGTTTCTCGAGACGTTAGTCACGTGGATGGGGCCGATGTGGGTCTTCATCTACCGAGGATACAAGAGGGCAGCTCACGCCTTAGAAGGCAGAACTAAAGTTTGATGGGGGAGGGGGAAATCAGGGGTTGTCTTGGGGGGCAAGTGAGCCCATTTGCCGTTCCCAAACCCTGTGGGGAGAACTCCTGCAGGCTGGGTGCTCTGGGGAAAAGGCACTGGGGGGAGAAGCACCAGCAAGCAGGGGCAGCTTCTCCCCCCAGTGCAGCGGACCCCCTCGGCTGATATTGGTACTGGACAGACTTCCACCGAAAGAGCTGGGCTGCGGCCACTTGTAATTTGTCTTTTTGGGAGCGTTATTGGGCCCTCCCAGGCAATCAGGGCAATAGTTAACGCTAGACATTGCCTCCTGTGCATTTGCTTCAGCACCGCTTTGGAAAAGCCAGAGGGGTCAAGGTCGCCAACAGGCCCTGGAAAGGGATCCAAGGACACAGTCTGAGGACTCCTATCTTAGTCTTCGACCGACAGGCTGAATCATTGGAAGCTCTTTCCCATCTTGTGTCTTTTTGCCATAAATCAATAAATGAACTGCTATAATTTCCATGCTTGTAAAATTCATTATCATTGCTTCTTTATAGAAGAAAAATCTCATCAGATATTGGGAAGTGGAACCCACTAATCAATATTTTCCTTGCTTCCAATGCTCACCTTAATTTAATTCGAATGTATGCTTTTGCAAGGTATCTAAAATGGCTCCAAACCCAGCTACAGTTTGGTCCCACCTCCCCAACCTTGGCAGCCTCCAGATCTGTCAGGCCACCCCTTCCCCCGGTCTGCGCCCTTCTGGGCCGTGAGGAAGAACAACGGCCGCCTCCTTCACCGGGAAGGACTATACAGGGAAAGGAAAGGATGATTTCTGCCCCTTAATGAGGAGGAAGCATCGTTGTGCAGGAGTCGTTGCTTCGGGGGTGCTAACAAACGAGAGGAGCAGAGCCCGTTTTTGCCACGGTGGGCGACCGAGTCCCTGGCTGGCCGGGCCCCTGCTTTTTTCCCCCTTGCCTCCTCCTCCTCTCCGCTGTTGAAACAGGGACGCCTCTTGCCAGAGCTAGCAAAGAGCACTTGGCGGTCCTGTTGATAGGATTGAGAAAAACGATCCGTCCGATGAGTCACATAAAAATGGAGCTGATTCAAGTCGGATATTAGAACTGAAACCCTGAATGGGGGAGAAGCCATTGACAGGAACTGGACCTCCGAGTCCAATATTCGCACAGCCCTCCTTCCCTTTTACCAGACAGCATCAGAAGGTCTTGCCTAAAAAAACTGATTGGAAGGACCTAATAAAACGACCCGCTCTGATTAAAAGCTAGAGCTCCAGCTCCAGCAGTTTTTCCTCCCCTGATCTGGAGTCCTTCATAAATGGACTGGGGAGAAAGGCACAAAGTCCAGTTTTGAAAACATCGGCCTTCAGTCACTAACGAACCTTTGGCAACGTTCAAGGATTTCACTTCTGAAGATTTCTGCTTTAATTCCTACATCTCCTAACTCTATCCAAATCTGCATAGTTTAGTTCATGTTTCAACACTGATATATTTGCCAAACAGAAATCCCACCAAATGCTGTTAAAAATGATAATTCAGTACAACCTTTTAGTACTTGTTATAATTGTGCAGCTCTTTTTAAAACATGTGTATTCTTTTAGTTGCCCCACTAAAATTAACGCTTTAAAATAAATGCTGGAAAAGTATGACAATATTTGAACAACAGTTGACGTGTCAATGGATTTAATCTTTTTTTAAAATGTTTTCTGACGAATCAGATCCTTGATGGTAACTTGGGGCAGGAGAAAGCTAAAGAATTAGAAACATGGATCTCTTGCTTTCCAAAACTCTACCTTTTTAATTGGTTGTAAGACTGGACTTTTGAAGCAATGTTAAAAGTGTCTCAGTGTCTCATAAATGTCTGACAAAGTCCACTGCTTTGTCCAGTATTTCTACCCCTGCCGGAAACCGCAAAAGGCTCATGTGACAGAGGTTGATGATACCATGAAATCCCTGTTCAGCATGGAACCAAGTGACTTTCACACCGTTCTCCTCCAACCGTTTCTTGTACAAGAGAGAGTCGTCCCGAAAGACATCATACTCACAACTTGCAATAAAAGTCTCTGGGAGTTGTTGCATGACAACATCTTCAGCAAACAGTGAAGAAAATGTGGGGTGGAGTATATCTGGAAGCTGGCGGTAAATCTCAGGCTTGTAAGGAGCTAGTGGCATTCTCTTGTACCCCCGGCGTTTGAATTTCTCAGGAATGTTGTTCAGACTTACCCACTTTTCATATTTCTGCCTAAGTTCATCAGGCACGTGAGATCCCTTCAAGATATCATCCATCAGTGAGGAATCCTTTAAAAAGAACTTTAGCCCATAGTAAACAACGCTGTCCTGGAACAAGACTGGCATGGCACAGTTCTGCTGATAGGATGGCAGGTTGAAGTCCATTGCCTGGACCCCGGGGTAGATCAGCACTTGAGCCCGCAGCTTGGGGAGATCCGGTCGCCCCAGGAGTACTTGAGAGAGAACGGTCGCGAAATTGCCCCCTGCGCTGTCTCCACCGATGATAATCTGGGAAGGATCCACCCCGTGGTCCTCTGCGTGCTTCATGAAGTGCACGGTGGCAGTAAGGCAGTCCTCCCACTGGGCAGGAAAACGGTGCTCAGGCGCTAAACGGTAGCTGCAGAGCCACAATGCAAAGCAAGGGGTCAAATCTGAGCCATGAATTTGAGCAAATGGTTGCAAGTGGGCTGACCCCACACCTACATCCTGCTTGTTCTCTCACCTTGCTGTTTTTGTGCTTTCTGAAGGAGGTTGCAGAAAGAACAATGCATTTGAAAGCTCCTTTCACATCTTTATGCAAATGCAAAAAGATTTCACTCAGTGGGATTAGGAGGCCTCAGCTCACTCCCCATCATGTAAAAGGATGTGATTAACATTTTTTCTGAAAGTGGTCTCTCCCATATATTTGAAACTATTCCAGCACCAGGAAGTATGGTGCACGTGAGCTGGATGGTGGTTCGATACTTGCTGGATTTCTGCCTGCACAGTACGTTATAGTAGGTTAATATAGGGAAAAATGCCTGTGTAATTTGCTGAGCTTTGCAAGCCTGAGTAGAAATTGGAAGCATCATATAATTTAATATTAAACAGAAGGTTTTGCAATTACTGCTCAGCTGATGGCAGCACCTGACTGATCTTGTCTCTGCTCAGAAGCTGGGCAGGGTCAGGCTTGATTAGGACTGGATGGGAGGCAACCAGGCAATCTCACGGCTGCATGCTATGCTAGGAAGTTGAAAAATGGAGGCAACATCAAACCACTTCTGTGTGGTTGTGCCCCCACCCCATAATTGTATGGACACCTCCATGAGGTCAGCAGGACTTGAGGTCTTTATCTTTTGCAACTGTTGAATTTGTGACAGGCCATGTCTGAAATGCCTCTTTAATGAAAGGCTTCTTTTCTTACCAGCAAATCAACCAGCACTGTTGTATTGTTGAAGGCTTTCACGGCTGGCTTACGATGGCTGCTGTGGGTCTTCCGGGCTGTGTGGCCGTGGTCTTGAAGTTTTGTTTCCTAACGTTTCGCCAGCACCCGTGACCGGCATCTTCAGAGGGCAGGAGCACAGACAGGAACAGTTCTCTCTGTGCCCCCTGCCTGCTCCTGTCTGTGCC